ATTAAATTAAGTGAAAATGAGAAAACTAATTATCAAATAAATATGTTTTTAATGAATAAATATTCAAATATGTCCTCATTTTAATTTTGGTTTGACAGGGCTAGACCCCATAGTTTTTTTTTTCTTTTTCCAAAGTTTTTCATTGAAAGAATCCTTGTGCTTTCTCGTCCAATCTTTTTGTTATATGTACATGTGCTAAATTTTCGTGTAATACTAACACACTAAATGCATACTTATTCATGACATAGTGGTTGAGGGTGCAATCTTTCACTATAAGGTTTCAAGTTTGAATCGTGCATTTTGCCCTTTGGGCTCACTTTTTTCCCAAAAAAAAAAGAAGAAAACACTAAGACATCAAATAATTAATCTACTGCAGCAAAATTTACGGCACACAACAATTATATTATGTTGCACCCTACATATAGTGCAAGGATGTCTTCTTAAGACGGAGAAAAATGCACCACATAATAATTGCTTATAACTGCACTACTCAGGATGCAATGACTTTATCCGAACTCTCGAAGCTCTCTCCTTATAGCCTATCAGAATGACATACTTGATGAACTGTAGCTTCAGGACGTAATCACGACTCATGTAATTCTCAACTCCTACCTCTGCGGCCTAAGGAGATTATAACAACTCATGCAGCTCCAAACTCTAACCTCTAAGGCTTACGGATGTTATCATAGTCTATGTAAGTTCAACTTTGACTTCTACGACCTACAAAATTATAATAGCTCATGACGTCCTCAACTCTAACCACTGTGGCCTACGGACGTTGTCACAACTTATATAGCTCCCCACTCCGACCTCTGTGGTCTACGCACATTATCATAATTCACGTGTCTCATAACTTTGATATCTATGATCTACAGATATTTTCACTGTTCATGCTGGTCCCAACTCTGGTCTCTACGGCTTACGAACATTATTACATCTCTCATCTACGACTTATGTTACCAACTCTGACCTTTGCATCTCAGCTCCTAATTCTGTCCTCTAAGGCTTATCGAAGTTATTTTAGCTTCCTACTATAGCCTCTATGATCAACCGATTCTTCTAAAGCAACCATATACGACAATTTGTTGACTCAATAACAATCAATTACATTCTTTGCAGTATGTTACTACTATTATTACAGAAATATCATTACATAATTCTATCTTTCCTAACTCAGAAGAAGAGCATACCTACGTACTCACCATTCCATAGTGCATTATTTCAACCCTGTGATTTTTTCCCCTTTCCTTGGTTTTCCACGTA